GCGACCGCGAGCCTCGTGTTCTCCTAGTGCCAGCGAGGATCCCGAAGGATACAGTTCTGTTCGAATCATGGAGACGAAGATGGAGCCGCTGACACCTCCGCACACGCCGCCCACGCTCGACAGATCGATGCACCAGCAGCAGCAGCAGCAGATGCTCTCGTCGCCCAGGTGGATCAGGTCCCAGCAATTGACCAGCAGATTCGTGCAGCAACCGACTGGACAAAATGTCGGCTACCAAGCAGCGTTTCTGGATAACTGGCTGAGAGGTGCTGCGCTGCTGGCCGTCAGGGGTTGTTGCCCTCAGACCGCGTCCACGCATCCTTATCATCATCAGGGTCATCAGGGACTGCATCCCGCGCTTCCGGTACCGCCTCCCGCCTCCTTTCTCGCCAGGAGATTGCCCGGACAGAGGCCCAAGAAACAGTTCATATGCAAGTTCTGTAATAGACAGTTCACCAAAAGCTATAATCTGCTGATTCACGAGAGGACGCACACGGATGAGAGACCTTACTCCTGCGATATCTGCGGGAAGGCGTTTAGGAGGCAGGATCATCTGCGGGATCATCGGTGAGTTTACGATGGCTAATCTAACTGGGGAATATATGACAGATGGGGGGAAAGAGACGTTTGTTGTTTGACGTTTCGAGATTTGAATGTGTAGAGATGAGTTTACGAGCTTAGAGATTTAGGTTAGACTTTAGAGAACTGAAATATGTGATGAATTGAGGATTTGTATATTTACGGTTACTTCATCAAAATATTTGGAAGTAAAGAAATTGGGAAACATAGGAGTTTGAAGGTCTAGGATTTGTATACATAGAATTTGAGCATCTATGAATATAAGAATTTACGAATTTACAGATGTAGAATCTATGTAAAATCTAATTTAGGAATTTGAGAAATTAAGGATTTGCTGGTGGAAGAATTTGTTAATGTGAAATCTGGAAATATGCATATTTACAAGTATAAGTATTTGGGAATTCGAGTATAGGCAAATTTGAATATTTGAAAATCTATGGATTTGTATATAGGTAAATTTAGGAATTTTGATGTTTAGATGTCTAATTGTAAGTATTTTGGTATGTGGACATTTTGCAAATTGCGAAGCTCTATAATTTAAAGTCTTGACAATGTAGAAATTCAGAAATATGAACATTTGAGAACTGAAATTTGTCAAATTTACCAATGTTGATCCTTCAATATTAACCCTAGGTTACACCTCATACATTGGTCTCAAAGGGTCATGTTTAGATCAATTAAAATCAAAGTAACTCTATTAAATCCTTGTCATCTCATATATATTTGAAATATCAAATTCTCCAATCCAAAGTTCCTGATTCAGCAATAACATTCACATATCCCTTATCAGCCCTAAATCTTCAAATCTCCCCAAACTTAAAATCGCGACCCAAATCAAATTCGCCGCTAATAAACGACCTCCTCTTTTCCAGGTACATCCACAGCAAAGAAAAACCGTTCAAATGCAGCGAATGCGGGAAAGGCTTCTGTCAGAGCAGGACTCTGGCCGTGCACAAGATTCTCCACATGGAGGAATCGCCGCACAAATGTCCTGTCTGCTCCAGGAGTTTCAATCAAAGAAGCAATCTGAAGACGCATCTTTTGACACACACGGACGTGCCACAGGATTTGAGGATGGAAACACCGGTCGCGTCGGAATCCAGGATCAACGCTTCTACGACCGTCAGGCAGATGGCGGAGAGGGTGAGTGGACTGATCCCGATTCAGAGGACCAGCACCACCACCCCTAAGCTCGGTTTCAGTATAGAAGACATTATGAGACGTTAAGGGACTCCTTTGTCCTTTTTGTTGTCGACATTCTCACTCTGCTGGAGTTAGTGTGCTTCGTTCTTAAGGACGACTCTTAGAAAAATCATAGCTTCGTTGCACAAGTTTCTTTTTGACTCGGCGATTCTTAGATTTGCTTAGTATTCTTCTTTTGGGTAATTTGGTACGATTTTAAATACTTAACTGAGTTTGCTGGTAAATTCAAGCATAGTTCTGGGATTGGAATAGTTTCGGGTTTCAAGATACAGTTTATTTCTTCTTCAGGACAGCGTTTTTGATTTTGAAGATCGGTTTTTGGTCGAGGATTGGTCGTTCTGAATGATCACTTTTTTATTGGAGACTTCTTAGGTTTTGGTCGAGGATTGATCATTCTGAATGGTCAGTTTTTGATCAAGGATCCATTGGTTTTTGATCAAGGACTGATATTCTGGACAATCAGCTATTGATCAAACCCATCACTAGTTCTTAATCAAGAATCGATCCGAAGAGAAAGATCAATTTTTGGTCAAAGATCACTTTTCGCAAATCCGAGATAATTTAACTCAAAAGTTTATAATAGTTATTTACAATTGCAGGGTGAACTATCTTTCATGTCTAACACGCTAGAAGTCACCCAATCAGTTCTTGATCAGGGATAGATATAAACAGCATCAATGTTTGATCAAAGATTGATTACTTTTTACAGCTCTGATTTTATTAATTCCAAACTTTAACAGTTACAGTTATTTATAATTCTACAAGACATGTATCTTGCGAGTCATTTCATTTTTTCTTGCCTTCAAAATTTAACCATTGTACGAAAATGATTTCCCGAACGAATATGATTATCGTTTTCTAACGAAGCACACTGATCTCGAATGTATCATACGTCATGTTGTAAATATGGCTTCATTTAAATTATTCGGCGCTGTTTATCGAAAGAAGGGGATGATCCTGGCGTTTCATCCCCCTTCTTCTTACGTGTAAATAGTCGTGTATCGATATTTAATTGTAAAATAATAGGAAAACCCTTCGTAAAGCTACGTTTCGTACAATTTCCGAGTACCTTCACATTATTTACAATTAATTATCTCGACAGTTATTTACAGTATTCTATTGTTAAACAATACGGTTATTACGGTTTAGTCGATCCTCTAACTCAATTTCTTTCTGTCTCTCAAAAATTGAATTAAGTTAAATTCATTTGAATAGTTCAGAAAATTCAAACAATTCAGAAGACATTTTTTAACCTGAACTCTTAAATAATATTATTATATAATAGTATTCAATACTATGAGACTACTTATTATATAATAATATTTAATACAATTATAATAATAATTATAAAATAATATTTAAGTAGCAGTATTTCATTTACATTTTTCAATTTGATCAGTCATTCAGTTTCCAGAGGTTCCTCAAATAATACACCATTGTCCGAATTTCAAAACTTTAGAAAAGAAAATTTGAAATGAAAGAAACGGAGAAGATGTAACAGAAGAAGGAAGTAGAGTTAGCAGAGGTCTGTCGCGATAAGGTCGTGAAACGAAACCCTCGAACACCATACGGTGAATTAACAAGGGGTATCTCGAGAGGCGTCAAAATAATTGGTCACTATGCGTCCGAGACAACGATCTATCCCTAGAAGCAAGGTGTTTTCGACTATCGAAACGTTAAATCGAATTTCCTGTTCTGTCCCCTTGGTTTTTCTCTCCCGAAAATTAGGAATTCTCGATCAGATAAGCCAAAAGGGACACCTTCTGGTAGTTATCCACGCGCCATCTTCTTCTCTCACCAGTGACCTGTAAATAGTCCCAAAGATCGTTTCTTTTTTTCGCTCGTTTAATCTAGCCAGGGTTCCATGTTGACCCTCTTGGACCACCCATGTCTTGTACATACGTGTAGTTTATACCTGACACTCGTGGAGGTTGTCGCGTCGTTGTGGCTCTTATTTAATGGCCGGATAGACCGGGTCTTTCTGGTTTTCGTTACTTAATCGCGTTACCATTGTATGATCCTTCTAGTTTTTTTTTTTGTGTATTGTTGGCATTTTTAACTGCTAGACTGGTTTTTTAGGATGTAACTTTGGTGACTGATGTTGTTATATTTTGTATTGTGCGGTGCTAATATTTTGTGGTTAGAACTGTATGGTGTTTTTTGGAGTTGGAAGGTTTTTTATTTTTTAATTTGGGAGTTTGAGGATTTGGGGATTTGAGGATGTGAGAATTTGGGGATTTGGGAGTTTGGGGATTTTAGAATTTGGAGATTTGGGAGTTTAGAGATTTTAGAATTTGGGGATTTAGGAATTTGGGGATTTAGGAATTTGGGGATTTGGGAATTTGGGGATTTGGGAATTTGGGGATTTGGGAATTTGGGGATTTGGGGATTTGGGAATTTGGGAATTTGGGGACGTGAGAATTTGGGGATTTGGGAATTTGGGGACGTGAGAATTTGGGAAATTGGGAATTTGGGGACGTGAGCATTTGGGGGTGTGAGAGATTGGGGATGTGAGAATTTGGGGTTTTGAGAATTTGGCGATGTGAGAATTTGGAGACGCGAGAGTTTGGGGATTTGGGTATTTGGGGACGTGAGAATTTGGGGACGTGAGAATTTGGGGATTTGGGAATTTGGGGACGTGAGAATTTGGGGGTGTGAGAGTTTAGGGACGTGAGAATTTGGGGATGTGAGAATTTGGAGACGTGAGAGTTTGGGGATTTGGGAATTTGGGAACGTGAGAATCTGGGGATTTGGAAATTTGGGGACGTGAGAATTTGGTAATTTTAGAACTTAGAAATTTCAGAATTTGGGGACTCAGAAATTCGGGAATTTTGAGACTATGAAATTTCCAAATTTCTATACCAAAAGTCTTAGAGATCCAAAAATTTGAAGCTCTGCTACTTCAAAAATCTTTAGATTTGATCTAAAAATTTTAAAACCTGCCAACTTGAAAATTTGCTAAATTAAAAATATAAAAACAAGAAATATCAAACAATACAAAATAATGGCAATATTGAATTATTGTGTAGTTACAAGAAGTATGAAAAGCTAGTCTAGCAGTTAGAGTATCATCTTATACAAAGAAAAAACTAAAGGGACACCGCACCATTAACTTAAGGCTGTTGTAAATAGAAGATAGGTCATTTGCTTTGCGGATAAAAAATAAATTTGTTTAAAGCAATACCAAACAACTTGGAAAACGTTTTAAAACAAGAAAAACCAATTTTCTTGATAGTTAATTTATCTCTTAATTATTTATTTTAACCTTGCAAACCAAAAAAAATGTAAAAAAAAAAGATTATCATGTATCTTTTAAGCATCTCTTGACTTTAACATAAGAAAATTGTTTAGAACAATAACCTAAGTTAGTTTACAATTGTTTTGAACAAATTTGTAACATCTTCAAAGCATCTGACGCTGTCGAACAATGTAGATAATCACTTAAAGATTCCAATCGTTGAAGATTTCGTAGCTGCGTTTATTTCGTGTCTGAAAAGTGTTTTGTCTTTGACCTTCTTACGCATTCGCAGATTGTATGAGCGTTTCTATTAAGTAATTAGCGTGTATTTGTAATCGAACTGGGATGTGCAAAAATGGAGGATAAGCGTGTTAGCGCGTAGTTATACCAAAAAATGCTATTGCCCTAGTCTATTCTAATGTATATTTAAATATTGTTGTTATTGACTGGAAATAGAAATTAATTGGAACAACATGACTATTTTATACTTCCTCTTCTTTATTTCAAACTTTCCCTTTTGTTATCTGAAAATTAAATAAAAATTTTTAAAATGGTTCTCGAAATCTTTTTTTATATTTTTTTTACCTTAGCTTTTAAGTATACATGTTCTTTAAATTTTCGTTGATAACTTTGATCATTTCTAGGCTTTATTATATATTTTTTAAATTTTAAGAAAGTTGCAAATTGGAAAAAATTTAAGTTTGAATTTTTAGAATTTTTTCATGTACACAGTATTTATAGATATTTAATTTTTATTTAATATGAAGCTTTTAGTAATCAAGCATTATATAGAAAATTTTAGAGATTAAATCAATACTTGATAATAATAATTTAATATTTTAATCAATACTTTACTGATTAATGAATTCTTGCAAGCTCATTCACTTTCACTTCTACAAAATTTGTTAACTATTTTTAAATAATTTTTACTAATTATTATTTCTATACCCAGAGTACATATAAATAAGTAATATCACTAGAAAACTCCTAACAAAACTATCAATACCTCCAGAAAAATTCCTCACCTTTCAATTGTTCTCTTTCCTTCGACTTTCAAAAGATTTAAAGAAAAAGAACACTATAATAATAAAAACGATAATAAAATAAATTTAAGCTTTCACAAAAATTAAGTGACCTGAAATCAATTGAAAGAAGGTAGACCCGAATCATTCATTCAACGATTTCTTTTCACCACCATTTTATTGTGCACCCTGTTAGAGGTTTGCTTCTATTCGTTCAACTATCACGTTTTCTCGACAATGGCCAGCAGTTAACCTGCTTGCTGGGCAGTTAGCCTTGTTTAACTTTAATTAATACTCGCACCCCTCGTCGACCGTAAAGCATAATGAAAAACCGGGTAAACAAAGCGGTTCGTCCTATATTCTTTTTCATTAGCACGGTGCCTTTGTGTCATTGTTGTATCCATGATCGATTTTTCTTTTTATATATTGATATGTGTTTAGGTATTTATAACCTTGTATGTGTTATGTAGTATAATGATTGGGAGTTTATTAATGGAATGGTATAGTAAAATAAATTAAAAATTTTCAGATTAGAAGATTTAGTTTCTAGGTTATGTAATTTTCAAGCTTTTAATATTCTTATATTTTTAGAATTGGAAATTCTTTCTTATTGGAGTATAAGTTGACAAAATAATGAATTGTTGAATTGTTGACTTGTTCAATTGTTGAATCTTCAAATCCTATAAATTTCTAAATTTCCAAATCTCTAAATTCCCAAATCTCCAAATTTCCAAATTCCCCAATTTCTAAATTCCCAAATTCCCAAATACCCAAATTCCCAAATACCCAAGTTTGCAAATTCCCAAATTCCCAAATTCCCAAATTCCCAAATTCCCAAATTCCCAAATTTCCAAATCCCCAAATCCCTAAATCTGCAAATTTCCAAATCCCTAAATCTCCAAATTTGCAAGCTCCCAAATTCCCAAATTCCTAAATCTGCAAATCCCCAAATTTGCAAATTCCCAAATTCCCAAATTTCCAAATTTCCAAATTCCCAAATTTCCAAATCCCCAAATCCCTAAATCTGCAAATTTTCAAATCCCTAAATCTCCAAATTCCTAAATCTGCAAATCCCCAAATTTGCAAGCTCCCAAATTCCCAAATTTCTAAACCTGCAAATCCCCAAATTTGCAAATTCCCAAATTCCCAAATCCCTAAATCTGAAAATCCCCAAATCCCTAAATCCCCAAATTTCCAACAATCAAAACACCTACACCCCAAAACCCATTCCGCAATCCAAGTTCCATTCAGCAACAAAGTTCTTACAGTAATTTCGAAACCACGAGGATTTATCGCGTCATAATCACGGACAGAGTGCGAAGAATAATTACCGCCTTCTCAAAATCGTCGATAAGGGGTTCAGAGGAGAAAGGTTGCTCCGGGGATGCAGGTAGCCGAAGAAAGGAAGAGGAACAGGAGGCAAAAAGAAACGGAAATATTATTTAGACGGAGGAGGATACGAAATGGGAGGAAGAGCCGTTTTGTACCCTTTACCGGTGCCCGCAGGGACGATTTAATTACAATAATCACAACGTTACGGTTCCTGGTATCGCGGCAAATCCTCCATGACTTGTCCCACGAGAAGACTAATCGTTTCCCTAAATCGAGGACAGTCCCCGCTGCTTTGGAACCGCCTTCGGAACTCTCGGTTGCTGGGTATTTAGTTTTTAATGATTACCTTGCAATGAAGTAATTTGTGCGATCTTTTCATCTTGCGAAAACCGAAAGGGTTAGAAATAATCACCAGTATCTATGACTTTTGAAGTTTTTGGAAAATTGATACTCTTTCTTGTTTATTTTATGTGTTGGTCTGAGGAGACTTCGGTTTTAAAAAAATGCAAGAACTACAATTTAATGCAAGAATTAAAAATGAAGAATTACTTTATTATTCCAGTATTTTGTACCCAACATTTTGTAATATTTTTTATAGAGGTATTATGTGAACTATACTTAAG